CCCGGGCTGGGGACCGACATCCCGGTGGGGGATCGGTATCCCGGGCTGGGGACCGACATCCCGGTGGGGGATCGGTACCCCGGGCTGGGGATGGACATCCCAGGGGGACCGGCACCGCCGGGACAGGGAACTGCACCCCCGGGCAGGTCCCCGACGGGATCCGGGGGCTTCGGGGCTCCCTGCCCGGGGCAGGGGGGGGCCGAGCCGCTGCCACCGCGCCCCACACCTGCCCGTCACCTGCCTGTCCCGTGGCTGTCACCTGCCCAGTGCCCTGCCTGTCACCTGCCTGCTGCCCTGCCTGTCCACTGCCCGCTCGGCCGGACCAGCCCGGTGGCAGCTGCCCAACTCTGGAGGGGTCACCAACCCCCGGGACCCCCGGCTGGCCCCCCCAGCTCCGGGTGAAGGTCTCAGGGCGGGGCTCGGGACCCCCGGGCAGGGAGGAGCCCCCGCCCCGAGAGCCGGTGCGTGGGAAAAGGGGGGCCACCCCCGCACCCCCCCCGTGTCAACCCACGTGTGTCCCTGGACCCTCTACAGCACCCAGTGAGCGCCCCTGGCCCCCCAGGCACCCCCCGGCCCAGGAGCCGCCCCCACCCCCAGCAACCCAATGGACCCCCTCCCTCCAACCACCGGAGATCGGGCTGGGGGGGGCTGGAAAAGGGAGGGATTTGGGGAGGGGCTGGATTTGAGGAGGGGGGAATGAGGAGGTGAGAGCAGGAGCCGGCACCACTGAGGGTTTATTGGTCAGATTTACATTCTGCTGTCGGGGTGGGGGGGCCGGGGCAGGCCCCCCCCGGCCTCAGGGCTCTGGGGAGGGGGCGTGGGGGGGGGAATGAGGTACAAACAGGGGTCCCCCCCACACCCCTCTGCCCCCAGCAGCACCCTGGGACCCCTCAGCACCCCTGCCCGGCCCCCCCACCCAGGGTGTTGGGGGGGGATGGGGACTTAAAACTGGGGGCTCCCCCAGCTCCCCCCCCCGAGCAGGATTTTCCTTCCTGGGGGGGGCACGTGCCTGGCAGACCCACCTCTGTGCCCGCTCTGCTGTGGAGTCCTGGGGAGCAGGGGGTGGTGTGTCAGCCCCCCCAGACCGGTACAGCCCCCCCAGACCGTTACAGCCCCCCCAAAACCGTTACAACAGCCCCCCCCAACCGTTTCACAATGACCCCTGCAACCGTTTCAACAGCCCCCCCAAACTCTCACAGCCCCATAACTGTCACAGCCCCCCAACTCTTACGGCCCCCCAGCTGTTATGGCCCTCGTGGGAAGGGGGGACACAGTGTCCCAGCTTTCCCAGGGGCACTGGGGGGGCACTGGGGGGGCAGAGGGTCCGGAGGGGGGCACGGGCAGAGCTGGGGGGCCTCTCTCAGTCAGGAACACTGAGCCTTGTGCTGGAAATAGGCCTGGAAGCGGCTCTGGGCATAGTCCTGGGGAGGGAAAGGGGGGGATCAGGGAATGCTGGAGCCCCCTGAGACCCCTTAACCCCCCCAGACAGAGGGGGGGTGATGCAGAGGGGACCCCCCCAGTGCTCACCAGGTACCCGAACTGGATGGTGGAGATCTTGGCCTGCAGGATGGACCACAGGCCCCAGAAGAAGTGGGAGGCCAGAGCGAACCTGGGGGGGGAGCAGCCATGAGACCCCTGACACCCCCTGCCCACCAGGACCCCCCTGTCCCCGTCCCCCCCACCACAGGAGGGGGCAGGATGGGGCAGGTTTGGGGGATGTGACCCAGGATGGTCCCCATGGGTACAGGAACCCCCCACGGCCACAGAGCCCCCCCCACATGCTCTAGGATGGCACAGAGACCCCCCCAGAGACAGAGGGACCCCTCCATGTGGTCCAGGACAGCCCCTGTGGTCACGGGAATCCCTTAGGGGCACAGAGAACCCCCACGGGCTCCAGGACAGACCCTGCAGGCACAGGAATCCCCCATGGGCACAGGGATCCTCCACCTGCCCCTGGACAGCCCCTACAGGTACAGGGACCCCCCTACAAGCCCCAGGACAATCCCTGTGGACACAAGGACCGTCCCCCCACCTCAAAGCCCCTGGA